TACTTCCTCTAAGAAGAAAGGACAGTAACAGAAGATCTCTGTGACGCCAGATGTGGTGTTGTTAATGCGATATGATATCCGAATATAATTTACTTATTGGCCCACCCTGAGAAAGCTTCGGTGTCATTTTAAAAAAAATTTTTTTTTTTATTTTTAATATTTTTTTATTTATTATTATTATAAGAAAATGTCACCCATTGAGAATATCCAATAATTCAAAGTGAAATTCAAGTGAACAAATATCGAGTTTAATTAATGTTGTATGTGTTTTATCCTCTGAACCAATCTCATTTACGGTAAAAGCTGATTGTTGGTTCCGGCGCGCGCCATAATAACGTGAGAGAGGCAGAGAGCTGCCTGCAAAATAAATGATGGCTCAAAGTTCACTAATGAACTTTGTTTTTTTTTTTAAAAGCCAGACTCCAAGAAGAGCCCCCACCGCCCTCATCTAGCAGCGATCTATACGATCATTTTCTGATAACGATGAAATAGCCCCGCCTCCCTGCACGTCTCCCTCTCCCCACCTCTCCTGCTGCTGGGCTGTCAGAAGAAAACAAATGTTAAAGGAAACTCTGCCGCACGGTTCCCTTGGAAGAGGTGGGTGTTTTTCATCTGCTGGTGGACAGTCCGGAGAGATATACTACAGGGTTGGGTTGTAACGGAATACATGTAACGGCGTTACGTAATAGGAATACAAAAATCAAGTGTATTCAGCTGGCGTTACATTTGAAAAACGAGTAATCTGATTACAATTACTTTCGTAAACCTGTGAATACATTTTGGAATACTTATTGGAATTATTGGTGGAAAAGTTTCCTCACAAAATGTAATATTCATTACCGGCAAAACTGTGTGCACAATGCACAGCGCTGCAGCATGTCTGTGAGCGAGAGAGATGTAGCGTGTCTGTGAGGCTCCGCCCCCGCACGCAGATGAGAGAGAGAGATCTCTTTTAAAATATATTGAAAGTTAGAAATGGATATGGTTAGATAAAATGTGCAAGATAACGTTTATGTAGCATTTCTTTATTGCCAAACTGATGACACTTATAACGGGATCCAAGTGAATGGCCTGCTGATGCTGAATGCATGGGGCAAGTGACTGTAAAATGTTTTAAAAGTTATTACATCGTTTCAGATAATAATAATAATAATAATACTAATAATAATGATAATTCATTCTATTTAGGGGCGCCTTTCAAAGCACCCAAGGACACCTTACAATTCATAACGTATGCCAAGGAAAGGTTTTAAGACAGTACAAAGAATGCAGTCCGGGTGATGTTTTTTGTGGGGTGCAGATGAGAGAGCTGTCCAGAATGACACCAAGATGTTGTGTTTGAGTTCTTGATAAGCCATTAAAACAGTAACATACGTGTCTCCTGTTCACCAAAACATACCCATCTGTTATGGAAAAAGAAAGTATTCCAAAAGTATTCTAAAAGTAATCTTCCACCGGTACCGGCGGGGATTGTTGTTAGCTTCTGATTAGCAGAAGAAAAATCTGGCCCACACTATTTTTTACAGGCCCACCCTAAAGTACATTTCTGCCTACGCTACTGTGGCAGACTATTCAAAACTGGACTCGAACGCCCCCCCAGAACTACACATGCTGGCTATTGTGTTTAGCAACATGTTCTCTATGGCACGTCTCTACTGGGAATTGTAGTTTTAAAAGACGTTTTTGTTTTTCCCAAAATTTGAAGTTGACAGTATTAAACTGTGTACAGCCCTGGAGGTTTAGGCGATAGGAAACACATTGGTGTGTACAAATTTAAAACATGTAATTGCTAAATGGGTGAAAATCGCTTGTATCCATAATGGGCATCATTAAAGATACAACCCAAACTCCAGTATATGACAGCATATTTGATTTAACCTAGTCAAACCACGGTTTATAATTACAGTAGTATTGTAATACAAAAAGGCCACTAGATGGAGCTAGGCTGTCATCTAACTACCGGAAGTTACAGCTTCGAAATGTGAGTTTTTCTGCCTGCATATCCCCAGCTCATATGTTTCTGTTTGGTTTCATTCAACACTTCGGATATGAGTTCTGACAGCATATTTGTGGATTTGAGCAACAGCCTTGAGAGTGTTCCTGTTTTAATCGAGCAGAGGTCCTCCGTACTGACGTTTCCTCAATTTCAGGTAATGTAACTTAGTGTGTCTGTAGTTGAACACATTGGAGTCCAACAGAGTTTAGTAGCTCTCCACTTATTTAGCTATTTGGAGTATTGTAAGAGTACTGACTCTGTCTACATGCAATGTAATCTATTTAAACTACATACAGTCTATGGCTACATCTTGCTTTATAGTGAAACTAATACCTCTATTAGATGCACAATAACCTGTGATCAAATGAAGTACATTATGTCACCAGCAGGTGTCAGCAAATCATTACCGGCTACAGAGAAGTCCTCTGACTACTGCACATACAATCTAAAATAACTTCCTCTGTAGAACCAGAGGAGCTGTCCTAGTTTACACTCCTCACTCAAGATGCTCTAAAAGACCATTATTGTTCATTATAATATATAATGCTATTGACATGAAAGTGATAATAATCACAAAATGTGATGAAGAGAAACTAAAGCTGTATTTGATAATGAAAACTGATTGTTATTTTCTTTTATGTATTCATCTGCACATTCATCGATGAAACATAAATCAAGATTTCATGATCCATGGTTGAATTCTCTAAATTGATGATATATAAGTATGAACCGAGAAAATCTGATGTGATATGTCTCGAGGGAATATTTTTCAAAGGTTGCACATTTGTTTTCACAGTAGACTCACTTTGGCTTTGCGTTCCCAGAGTGCAGTGTTGTTAGTGATTTCTTCTTTTTCTTCTTTCTCAAAAGTACATTGGGAGCCAGAGCCTTCAGTTTGCCATCTCAAATGACAAACAGCTAAACATCACAATTTATTTAGTAACGGGAACCTGTGAATTAATCATTCAATTGTTTAAGCTATATAAAGAATTTTGCAGGAATCATGGATATGTTTACCTACTGTAATATTGTTACAACTGTTTTTTTTCTTACCGTTTTTTAAACTTTACCTGACATTTATTTGTGCTGGCAGTAGCTCAGTCTGTGAATTTCCCCTTGCGATAAATCAAGTATTTTCTTCTTGTCATATTTTCAGTATTCTCCAGATAATGTTCAGGGACCAGGATGCACTCTTGACCCCAGTGAGGTCACCCTCCCCGGATGCTCCTGCCTGTCCCACTCCTGCTCCTCTGAGAGCTGCTCCTGCCTGCAGACACACGGGCAGGCGTACGACAGCACACACACACTCCTGCACAGAACACACTCCGGTTTCTGCTCCCCTGTGTTCGAGTGTAACGCCCTCTGCTCCTGCGGCGATGCCTGCTCCAACCGGGTGGTGCAGAGTGGCCTCACACTCAAATTGGAGGTGTACAGCACTGAAAAAAGGGGCTGGGGGGTGCGGGCACTCAAATCAATCCCAAAGGGGACGTTTGTGTGCGAGTACGCAGGAGAGGTGATCAGTTTTGAGGAGGCCAGACGCAGACAGCTGGCCCAAAGGGCGGAGGACAATAACTACATCATCGCAGTGAGGGAGCACGCAGGTGAAGGCTCTGTCACTGAGACGTTTGTGGACCCCGCCAGAGTGGGAAACGTGGGACGCTTTCTCAACCACTCCTGCCAGCCCAACCTGCTCATGCAGCCGGTCCGAGTTCACTCTGTGGTTCCCCGGCTGGCGCTGTTCGCCGGGCGGAGCATCGACGCACTGGAGGAACTGACGTTTGATTACTCTGGAGGATACAGAAACAGAGCGCCTGCACAGAGTGATGCTGGGACACTGAGTGAGACACAGAGTGATGCTGGGACACAGAGTGAGACACAGAGTGATGCTGGGACACAGAGTGATGCTGAGACACAGAGAGATGCTGGGACACAGAGTGATAACCATGGGGTCCAGAGGAAGGAGTGCCACTGTGGGGCCAAGAGCTGTGTGCAATTCCTTCCATTGGACTTATCTATTATTAGTGGAAAACGCTGAAATTAAATGTCATATGTATATATATTTTTTTTTAAGCCTTTGTGTTAAGACTGATTTTCTTAATGTTGGAGAAAGTGTTCAAGACGAGCCTGGTGGTCTGTTTGTATTATCCCTGGGCAATATGGCCAACATCTTCTATCCAATACATGTTATTTCATACAGTATCTTGATAGTAAAGATATGAATCATGATAGTAACTGGTAATTCATTAAATGAAAAGTGTATTTGAAATAATTGTGGTAAAAGTCATTTATTGTGTGAATAAAAAACTTTTTTCTCATTTAATTTAGTGCAAAATGAAATGAGAACAATGATATTTCCAGTTAAACCCGGACTATGTTAACAGTACATTCATGAAACCAATGATGACTATCTGATTAAGGTGAATAGTTTAAATGAATTTAGTTTGGTCCGATTTTCTGAGAATGTTTTAGACGATGAAAGAGTGTATATCTCAATACATGCTTTTTAAGGATGAATTGGAAAGATTATAATTATCGTATTGTTTCATTGTCCATCTGCCCACCACTCAAGTTTTAATTTTTATAGCCAATAGTCTATTAAGTTAGGTCTTGCTCTGTTTTCAGTTTCCCTAACATCCCTGTTCATTTAAGCACTCATTAGAGAAAGACAATGCAACTTGTTAATGCACCATAAACACAATCAGATGGGTGAGTCACGTCTGAGCCGCCATTGTTTCCTGTTCGTCCCTCCAGTGTCATGGTCTCCCACTCAATGTAAGATGCTGCAATGAGAGAGAGACACTTGTTGAAGTTACGTTCTGTTCTTTAACTTGTAAAATCCAGTCCCTTCATCAGGGGAGGCTTGTTCTGTGTGTTTCCCACCAGATTCACAGCTGTCATCTTGTCCTGGAACATTAGTCTCATTTCTCACTCGTCACATGAATCATGAAGGAGAAGAGGTTTCATTAGCACTGACAGACATGAGAGGAATGGTGCTCAACAGGTTTCAAAGATGTCATAATATGCTTTTTAAGTTTCTCCCTTTCCTGTAGTGAGGGAGTTTTCTCTCCCACACACTCCCCCCATAGTGACATCGCTATGTAACACTAACAATTCTATTGGCTAGCGCTCCAACACATTGTACGTGATAGACTAAGGGGCGGGACAACTCTAAGCGGTTGACCAATCACAACGGAGCAGACTGGGCTCTGGTTTCTATTGGAGCGTAAAAAGCAGCACAAGCAGTGAGAATGAGAAAAATAAAAACCTTTTTGAACGTTTTAAGCATGTAAACATGTGACAGTAGAGGCAAAACATGCTAATATCAACCTGAAAATGAGCAGAATAGGGCCCCTTTAAAGAATTATTCGGGCAGATCACGTGCAGGACAGATCTATGAAACATAATTACCAGCACATTTAATAGCACAACTATAATAATACAATTAATTGCAACCCAAGTTAGGTAAAGTTAATGTAGACAAAAGTTAAAAACAAAACACAAAAAAAGCAAAAAGTGATAGCTGTCATATGTTTTCATCAGCTTGACATTTGTCTTCTTTCTTCATGCAATGCGGCCTCCCCTCCTGTGGATATTATCAGCTTCTCATTGCTCTCAAACACCAAGGGAGGTGGGACCAATTACAAAAGGCCAGGGGGTATTTTAATATAGAAACGGACTCTATTCCCCTGTCAGAGGAGGGGCGTAGGTGTCCCACTTGAGTGTGACAGATCTTTCTGAAATCAGGACCTTCTCTGTTCAATCTGCCCCGTTTCCAGTCTAGACCTGCTTTCATTTTATTAATATCCACATCTGGGTTAATTAGGATGGAGACCGTGATAATCCAGTAATGGGACCAGTGCTGCAGCCTCAATGGGGGGAGTGGACTCCGATCGGAGACTGCTGTCACGTTGATGGGTTGTGGAAGTGGAGTGGTGTTGTTTTGACCCATATTTTCTCCTTTGTGAGGGCAACCTGAGATTATTTGTTTTCAAAATGGGCTTTACATTTATCCTGATCTGGTCACCACTAGTGCATTTAACAATTGGACCATAACTTACGGCAACTTGCTATCTTGTTGTCAATGTGACATTAACAAATATTTAAGAACATAACCCCTCCTAGAACCACAACAAGACATTTTGCTAGGCTAAGCTAATTAGCTGCTAGCAATAGCTTTACTGAACAGTGTTCAAACTGGATCTGTTTTAGTAAATTAATTCAAAATGTCTTACTATGCATTTGAGCTCGTCATATTGCAGTTGAATGTGGTATAAGATACACAGGAAGTATAATACAAAAACATGTTTTTATTGACATCTTCAAGGTGTGTGATACACCTGATCAGTCTGAGACAAAGAAGGAAGAACAAGAAAGAGTCAGAGGAGCATTACAAATATGTTTTTATATCTGAAATACTGTACTGCCCTGTGGAGAAATGTGGCTGGATATACACTTTGCCTGAAGAAAAACTAGTAGGCTACAGCGATTATACAGAAAAAAAAACAGAGTACAGCAATGTAAAGAAAGTTCTGGGTCAGGATTTCTCCCTTTAGATAAATCGTGTGTGCAGTGGTTTGGTATTTCACCTCTGCTTATAGCCCATGATATGTGTGTAAACATGAAGAAACCCATTGATCCTTTCCACTTACGGCCCTGTTTCTTGTGCTTTTTGGATAAACCAGATACCACTACGAGTAAAACAAAAACAACCTCTCTGCAAATGCGTGACTCATGTCCTTTTTCAGATGTCCCTGTAATCCCTATTGCAACTGGACAGGACAAATTTGGACAGCAGCGGTGGCTCAGAAGCACAAAGACTCAAATCTCGACTGTTGAAGAGCTGCAAATGGCTGGCTCCTTTCCAGTATGGTCACCTATCAACCACCAGCTCATCACATGAGGTGAACCCGCTCCACACCCCCCCAACAAAAAAAACAAATATATCAAGGACGCCTTGCAACCAGGGACGTGTACAGGTACGAGCTAATGTTGCCCGGGCAACGGCCCGTTTGGCCTTTTTGGCTGACCTGCCCCTCTGGAGAGAGCGAGAGTTTGTTTTTCTTTTTTCTGTTGTGGCCGAATCAACATGATAAGCCCACAATTAGTATTGCTGCGTCTCACTGCGGGAAACACACTTTGTCAGCGCTGTCATCTGCCGGTGCGTTAAAACCACCTCAGTGTCGGATTTTGGAAACTCATGGCAGTTAGGGTATAAGGGACAAACCAGGGGACTTTACTTCCTCTTGATACCGTCGGTTATTTACAACAACAAAAAAACTAAATATAGCCTACTTGTTGTTATTGTGCTTCTGTCTTTCTGTGTCTTTTCATCTGTAAACTCCCTCAACGGGGCCGCTCGTTCTCTTTTCTTGATCGCCCTCTCACAGGAGAACAGTTCACTGTCCCACTTCATTGTAGGATTTCTGCCATTATTATACCACTTTAGTTTGACCATCTCTGTTACTAAGTTATGGAATACTAAATAAATAAGTAATTAGATACCTTACCGTTACTGGCTGCGCTCATAAAGAATGATAAGAATAAGAATAATGCGTATTGAACTGGTTTCATTCATTAGTGAGTTTATTTAAGGTAATTAGTTAGAAACCCTATTTTATCAGTATGTCTGGACTGCACAGCAGTTACAATGGTCAAACTACATTAGAACAGAATTGTCCCCGTTTTTACTTTAATTTTACTAACATTAGATATTTTAATGAGATATGGACCGCAAAACAAAACATTTCCCTGGTTTTCATCTTTAAAATCATGTTACCGAATGCAAGTGGTCTTCTTAGCTTATTTTGTTATGAGATGTGAATTACTGTTCAATTTACAAACACAAGGCGCCAACTTCCAGGAAAATGAAACCAATGCGAAAGTGCCTTAAACCTGCAAAATATCCAAAAGGGAGCAACTCAACAATTTGTAAAAAAAAAAGAAATCTGTTTGTATAGAAGTGTATGAGAAAAGGACCATATTTCTCACTTGATGTACTGACCTTTATTTGTTGCTGTTGATGGTCTCAATCGCTCTTCTCGTAGCATGTAGCGTGATGTTTATTGTGCAAATGATGTTCCCATTTACATTAACTTGGCAAAGCATGCTTTAGGTCAGTGATTGATAGAACGGTGTTGTCTGGTTCGGGTATTGTCCTTGTTTTCTTCTTAGAGCGTTTACCCTTTCACAATTTGTTTTCAGTTCAGGGAAATGTCTTGTAACACTCACCTCATTGTATCGTTCGGTTGCGCTAAGCTCCCCCCTTTCCTGTCATATCTGGTCGCAAAAAAAATATGGTGACAGCCATATTGCTATATTTTCACATGGTGACTACTTCCACACTTTGAAAAATGCAAAAATAAATTAAACCCATAGAAATATTGCAACATGATGTATCATGCCAAAACCAGAGAAGCATCATACGTTTATGATCTCATCCTTCTTAAAATAGAGCGTTCATTTTAGGTAAATTCAAGGAAAAGGTGTGACCCAAATATGCATTTCCTTTATATGTCACTTCTAGTAGGTGCAAACTTCACTTTAAGAAACATATTAATCTTCCTAAATGTTGAACTAGAGTCATTGCCGTGTGACTGAAATGAGTTTATCAGTTCATAGACTTTACGACCTTTAGTTCTACTGTCAACCTGCATTTTAGTTTATCACAGATAAACATTGCAATGGCTTTATTACAAAAGGGCAATCAAGGGGAACCAACAAAGAGGCAGGTTTGTAGTGTATGTCTGCAGGTGTCACTCTGAAATACACCTATTCCATCTAATGTAAAGCTACAGCAAGCATTGGTTAAGCTTATTTTAGCATTTAAAAGAGCCATACAAAGGTGACAAAAATATGCATATTAACTTCTTTAAAGATCACAAATTGACTCCTTAAATATTGTGTGTTTAATCCTTACAAAAAACAGTCATGCAGCTACACTTTGATTTTGGTGAATAAGACTCCCACCTAAATGTCTAAATGCCAAGTGAAGCTGGAAGGACAAAAGATACAAAGGGCCTGGCATCACATTGATAAAGAAGCAAGAGACTTTTTCTTTTTCAGGATGAGTGACTAGTGGAGAAATTACAACTGGCAGTCCATTTATTCCGAAATAGAGCGCCTCTCTGATGAGGGGAGCAGATGTCCTTGCCTTGAATCCTGCAGCCAAGTGAAGGATAATTAAAAACAGCTGACAAAGGCATTTCAAAGACCAATTTGAATTTCTTTTTTACACTTCACTTTGTTGTAAATATATGAAATC